TATAAATAGAAAATAAACTTACCTGAATACTGAAATTTTAAATAGGACATTAGAAAATCTTTTAGAAAAACTAAAAAACAATCTCTCAATCATATTGCGAATTTTAAGATAAGAACAAAAAAATTAACTATTCTCTTATATTATTTATGATTCTATAACTAATAACTATAATAGTTCCAATAAATATGGAATAAGATGATTCACTTATAAGTCCACTCAAACCTGTATATATTTGAAGATTACAAACCTGGAAGACCAATCAATAAAGAATTTGAGTGCACTGAGTGTTCATTAGTATTCTAAATTAATTTCTAATTTAGAATTCACATATAGATATAGATCTTAAGATGTTTCTATGTCAAAGATATTTGTATATAATTTAATATTTACTTGTGATGATTACTTAATCCATTTTATATAATTTTTCTAAATATCAACTTCTATTATTATGATATCATTATTGGTGAATTCAAATGATAAATGTTAATCATTCTTATCTTAGTAGATCTTGATTATGAGAGAACTAAAAAAATATAAATAAATCTAAACCGGATTAAAATTAAAAAGATATCATTTGCCTTAGATTAATTCCCCTTGTGTGAAAAGGAATTATCTTTTCAAAAAAATAAAAAAGAAGCATTTGAAAAAGTGTTACAAATAGATTTAAGTTTAGATTAAGATTGCTTATTTGATTAAAAAAAAGCTACGATAATTGACTTATGCAGAGAGCGAGGTAAAATATAAGGTAGTGAGCAAGAGTTCGGATTTCCATTCAAAAAAATCGAGAATGTTGAACCTATGTTCTTTATAGTATTTCACCCAATTATTGATATTTAAAGAGTCTTCTTAAAAAAGCTGAGTATTAATGTCTCAATATGATTTTAGTATTAAAATTACATTCCTTATTTAGAGTAATACGATGGTTATTTTTTAAGAAAGCTCTTAATTAAATACTATAGGAAAGAAAAAAATTGAGAGGCTAGATGAATTATTTGAAAAAATAATTAAACAAATAGGATGGGTCAATTATAATTTATAATTATATATTGAAATTGAAATCCTATCTCTATAAAAGAAAAGGAAAGATGAGTTATTTGTTAATATTAATCTTGCTCATAATCAAATGATCAATATTCATCTTTATTAAGGGATACTTTTTAATAACAGATATGAAATGTGAAAATCTAATATAGGATACAAGTCTGGTTAAGTTTAAACAAAAGTTGGAAAATTTCAATATATTTTAATAATAATTATTATTAATTCAAATATATATTCAGATATATCTGTATTCTTTGTGAAGATCGATAATCAGGGATGCAAATCATATTAAGAAGGTGTATTTTTAGTTTTTACTGATTATTACTATTTAAGAGAAGAGAAAAAGTGTTAATAATGTGATCTTCAATTTGAAAAATGTACTACACTTACTTAATGTACTCTCTGTGATAATGATTATAATTTAAATAATGAAATGAGTGAAAGATGTATGGAAAATTGTTTAGCATGTTCATCTAATAATTTCAGAAAGTTCTAAATAAAGGTATTATAATTAAATCATTAAATTTAAGCTGCAGCTTTATAGAAATTGAAAAGATTTGATGAAGCTTTGTAATTTTATAATTAAGCTATTGACGAAAATCCGGAAGTTTCAACATATTTTTTTAATAAAGGTATAAAAATAAAAAAATAAATTTTTAGCTGTCACTTTACAGGAAATGAATGAAGATGAAGAAGCATTAAAATTTTATGATTATGCTATATAGAGAGATTCAATGGATTCAAGATATTATATTAATAAAGGTATCAAATAGTGATATTACAATTGTAGGTGAAGTTTTACAAAAGCAAAATAAATTCGAGTAAGCACTAGAATAATACGATTATGCCATTAAGTATAATCCTGAAAATTCAAAATATTTCTTTTATAAAGGTATTCATTTGCAATTATGTTATCTTAGCGAATATTCTATCAAAAATGAATAGATAAGAAGAAGCATTAACTTTTTATGATTTAGCGATTAAATTAAACCCTTAAGATTCAGAGAATTATGTTGGTAAAGGTATTCAAAAAAAAATTATTCAATTTAGCTAATACCTTAAATGATATGAATAAATTTGATGAAGCATTAAAATAATATGATTATGCAATTAATATAAACCCAAATGATTCCAGATATTATGGAAACAAAGGTCTTAATAACATTATTAATATTTAGCTAATACTTTAGTTAAACTTAATAGATTTACAGAAGCATTAGAATATTATGAATAGGCAATTAAAAATAATCCAGAAAATCCAATATACTTCTTTAATAAAGGTATGAAAAAAATAAATAATAAATTTAAGCTGTTACTTTAGATTAAATGAATAGATTTGAAGAAGCATTAGAATATTTTGATTATGCTATTTAGAGAAATTAAAATGATCCAAGTTATTAAACATGTAAAGGTATAAGCAAGAAACAAATATAAATTTTTTAGCAAAAGTTTTAGAAAAAATAAAAAAATTGTAAGAAGCCCAATAATAGGAGAATAATGTAATTCAGAATAACTTAAATAATTCAAACTATTAATCTATTTAAGTAATAAAAAATTAATAATTTTTTTAGCTTGAAATGAATGATGAGTCATAATAGTGAGATTATCAAATATTTTTTAAATCATTTAAAGAAAGCAAGAGATTTTTATAATTATTTCATTAAAT